GAAAGATGAGCATCTCATTCCATGCAAACTGCTGCTTCTGAAAACCCACTGGAACAACAAAAACAACATCTAAATAGTAGGAGGAGAAAGATGGGCAGTCTCCTCCCATGTGATTTAATTCTTCCGAAAATCCACTGGAAGGTCAACTATGAGTTAGTTGTTACTTAATCGCTCATGCTGTTGCTGTGTACCTTTGAGTGAGAACTGGCCCAGAGCTGATCCTCCAGCAGGTTTTCAGAGGCAGTAACTCACATAGGAGATTGCCATCCTTCTCTTGTGAAGCAGCTGGTGGATTTGAACAATGTGCATTCAAAGTTGCAGCACAGATTCTGACCTCTAGACCACCCACCAGAGCTTCCTTGATAGCTCATAACAATATCTAAATAAATCCTATAAACAATAGAGCATACTTAGACTATTAGGTATCACACTGGAGGCTGAGCCCTTGTTGAGAAAAACCAAATGAGGAGAAACAGTTTCAAGTAGCAACTAGGAACATGGAATGTACAAATCATAAATGCAGGAAAATTTGACATTGTTAAAAAGAAAAGGAACACATAAATATTGACATGGGCATACTTGAGCTAAAATGGATTGGCATGGGGCATTTTGAATCAGACAATCATAATCTACTATACAGGAAAGAAAAATTGAGGAAAAATGGGGTTGCACCAATAGATAATTTCTAGATCCATCCACAAATATGTTGTGAGTGACAGGACGATAACCATACATAGACAAGAGTGCCTGTTAATACCACTATCATTCAAATGTTTGCATCAACAATCAGAGCCAAAGAGGAGGAAATCAAAGACTTCTACCAAGTTTTGCAGTTGTAATCTAAAATCAATTGAATATACAGCCAAGATTCACCAACAATAATCAGTGACTGGAATGCAAAAGTTGGAAACAAGGAAGTAGTCTGAAAATATGGACTTGGTGACAAAAATGAGGTTGGCGATAAAAGGATAGAATTTTGTACAATTAGTGATTTATTAATTGCAAATAACTTTTATTAAAAAACACCCCCACAAATGGTGACCATATGCAGGAACTTCAACAGATGGGCTACACAGGAATCAGATTGGCTACATCTGTGGAAAGAATCATTGGAGAAGCTCAATATCAACTGTGAAAACTAGACCAGGTGTTGATTGTGGAACAGACCATCAAGTACTCATGTACAAGGTCAAATTGAAGCTAAACAGAATGTAAACAAATCCAAAAGAACAAATACACGACTTTGTATCTATCCACTTGAATTTATAAACCACCTCAAGAACAGATTTCCGAACTTGGACACTGATGAATGAAGAGCAGATGAGCTGTGTGATGTTAGCAAGAATGTCATCCATGGGGAATGCAGGAGGTCATTACAAAGTCAGAGGAGGAAGAAAAAACTGAGGTGGATTTCAGAAAAGACTTTAAATATTGTACTAAAGTGCTAAGAAGAAAAAAGAGGAAGATATCAGAAAATTAAAGAGCAGAGATTTCAGAGGGCAGCTAGGGAAAAGAGAGCTTAAAACAAAAAAAAAGTTTATAACAAAATGTGCAAAGAGCTGGAGTCAGAAAATAGATGAACTTAATTGGCATTCCTTAAGCTGAAGGAACTGAAGAATAAATACAGGCCTTGAGTTCAACTATTTAAAGATTCTATGAGTAGAATATTGAATGATCCAGGAAGCATCCAAAGAAGATGGAACGAATACACAGAGTCTCTCTCTCTCTCTCTCTCTCTCTCTCTCTCTCTCTCTCTCTCACACACACACACACACAAAAGTGGCCAATACAGAAAAATTCCTAAAATAGCATAGTATCAAGAAGCAATGGTGATGAAGGAGGAAGTTCAAGCTGCTCTAAAGGAATTGGAAAAAACAGAGGCCCAGGAATTGATAGAATACCAGTTAGCATATTTCAACAAACAGATGCTGCCCTGGATGTGCTCACCAGGTTGGGCCATGAAATCTAGAGAAGTGCAGCCAGACTGCTCCTGGGAGGCATGGACGGTGAGACTGTCTCACTTACTTTGGACATGTTGTCAGGAGGAGACATGAAAAAAGAGAAACGTCCTCAACGAGATAGACTGACAGTTCACTACAACTGTGGCTTCCAGCACAGTGGAGATGATGAGGATGATGCAGGATTGGCACGATTTCATTCTGCTGTTCAAAGGACTGCCATGAATCAGAGCTGATTTGAAGGTCGCTAAGAACAGTCGTTCAGCTCCATTGTTCATAGAGTCTGTATGAATCATACTCAACTCGATGGCATTTGGTAACAACAACAACAATAACATTGAACAGTGCTTTGAATTTGTGGGTTTCATCTGTCTCATTTGAAAGCACATGTCTTCCACCTGTATGTGCCTACTATTGTGTTTTATTGCTCAGAAAGTATTACATTTAATATATATCCCTCATCAGTATGTCCCTAGTAATACAACAAAAGGGAGCTCTTGTGGCTTAGTGGTAAGGAGTTGCATTGGCAGCCCAAAGGCACACAGTTTGAATCCACCAGCTACTGTTTGAAAGAAAGATGACAAATCTATTCTTGGGAGACTTACAGCTTCTCAAAATCCTCTAGAGGATCAGCTATGAGTGGATTCTAACTCAAAGGTGGGTAACAATGATAGAACAAAGGAAACCCTTTTCCCTAGAAAGATCAAATCCACAGGTTAGAATTCCAGCACAAATTTTGATTGACATAATTTCATCTGTAGCCCTGAGTACAATTTTATTTTACAGAAAAGGATACTGAAATACAAGAAGAATTTAGTAATTTGTCTAAAGTCACCTTAATTGTATGTTAAACCCAAGTCTTTCTGACTTCAGAAAGCACTTACTATGATTGCCCATAAATAATACTACCTTCTCTCATTTAAAATGAAAGTAGCTTCCCTCAAAGGTATCATGTCTCCACACCTTTTTTCAGTCTGTATGCAGAACAGAGTATTCAGGAGGCTGGGCTTTATGAGGAAGAGTGTGGCATCAGGATTAGAGGAAGACTCATCAACAGAAAGACATGACAGTTTCATAAAGATTATAGCCTAGGACCCTCTTGCGTAATTGTGCTCTGCCACACGGTGTTGCTATAAGTCAAAAACTGACAGGGGAGAAAGGCTGAGGTATTGGTACAGCACAAATTGGTAGAATAGTTCTTGGGGAGTTGAACCATTAACTCAGGCAGCACCTCTCTGGGTGGTTCAACTTCATCAGCAGCTCCACCAAAGAAAGATAAACAGTCTCCTCTCATGCAATATATTGTCCCTGAAGCTCACTGGAAGTTCAATTATGAGTCAGTTCCTACTCCACGGCATGAGAGATAACTCCATATATGGTTTCATCCTTTAAATGAAACCTTGAGAGCTTCTGAGAGACTGTATAGGCATACTTGCTATAAACACTGTCTTGCAGATATCAAATACGATATCTCCCTCAAAAAACTCAATGCTTTTGGTCAGAACCCATTGATACCTGACCCTCTAGGAGGTTTTCAGGAGGCTGTAAATCTCAGGAGAGGAGATTGCCTTTCTCTCTCCGTGTTGGATTCAAACCTCCGGAAACATTGCCTTCGTGTTAGCAACTCAACCTCCTATGCACTATACTACCAGTTGTTGTTGTTGTTGTTGTTATATACTATCAAGTCACTGGTGACTCATAGCGACCCTATGTACAACAGCCATAAACCCTGCTCTTATACCAATCTTATTGTCTCTGACACACCTACCACCATTACCCCAGTCACTGAGTCAATCCATCTCTTCCAGGGTCTTCCTCTCTTAAATAAGATAGGTATTTTATAAGCACATTAAATGAAAATTATTATAACTAAGTTAATGTCTATATGCATTTCTGGTTTTTACAACTTATTTATCTGAGCCTCTTTTCTGGGAAATTATGAGATGGTTTCTTTTTGAAATATATTTGGTGAGAAATGGAACTTTACAATTATGATCCATTGTATTAAAACATTTCTATCCCTTATCTTTAGGTTACCTTCACTGTAATGAATCTGATAGTCAGAGATCAAGGTGGCTCAGGCAGACACTGGAATCATTCATCCCGCAGCCCTTGGTAAATGTAATTAAAGTGTCTGAATTGGATGGCAGAAAAATGGGAGATGCCCAGCCTGAAACATTTGACAAGGTACTTTTATTACATTGTGACAAACTGATGGACTCCAAATGATACCACTGTTGTGAGTCTGCTTTGTTGTTGTTTTCCATCAGTTCCCAGACATAGCTTGATGCTGTTTCTCAGCACCTTGGGAAATTTTGATAAAGTGAACACGGAAACAGTTTTCATTTGATGAAACCAGCATGATTCAAAGGAAGCAGTAACACTGTGACTGGGGATTATAGAATGTTTTCTATTTCCAGGTGCCTCAGAGGTACTCAGGGAAAGATCAGATAATATTTGGGTCAGGACACATACACTGTATTACTTTAACACCCTGTATTGCTTTAATTCAGTACTATTTTGTATCAGTGCATGAGAGTAGAAGAAAAACACATTTCAAGGAAACCAAAATTGAAATATTAGTTCGTAACATACATGCTGAGAATTCAGAAATACAATAATATCTGCTTAAAATGAAAAAACTTCAGTAAAAGTTTTGCTATACATGTTAAGAGTATCAAACATATTTAGTAGACTTTGGTAGATTTTTATTCCCCCACAAAATAATAAAATGCTTTATTTTTTTACCTTCTCTTTCTTCTCTAAACCAATTCCAGAAGAAAATGTACCAGGTTGTTAAATCAGTAGCTTGAAAGAGCACATCTCCAGATATAAGTGCAAATAATCACTAAAGTAAATAAATCTGATTATGTCCTCATTACAGAAGTTGTCTCTAAGACCAGCGAGCTTTACATGAATAACTACTTCTGTTTGTATATTTTAGCAAAGATGTTAAAGACTAAAGAAGATGGTGAAGTCATTTTATACCTAACAGAGTTAGAACAGAGAGTCAGTTAAACAGGGAGAAAGTTCATTTCTGTACTTTCATCGTCTTAGAAAATCCTACACAGAAAAAGGTCCAACTACTTGAATGCACATGCATTTCACCCAGAGTTACACATTATTAGACTGCAGAACTAAAATAAGGAGGCATATAAAAACACCACCTATTTAGAATCTGAACAAATAACAAGATTTTTCAAGGTAAAATAATAAGCATTGGGTTGTTTTGTTTTGGCTTCAAACGGGTATTGAAAAAGATTTACTGAATTAGGAATTCCTATAACCTTAGTAATGCTGAGGTGTGTAGATGACAGACTTTGGTAGATTTTTAATGAAAACAAAACCAAAAGTATAAATACTGAAAGTGTTATTAGAAAATTTATTCTGAAAAATATTAATAAGGAAATGTCACGAAAACAGTATCATGGTACTTTTTTGTTTGTTTCAAAAGAAATAGTTGAATTTATATGCTGTTTGTTTTCAATGCCTTTCATTGCTTCCATGTTTAAGTTCGAACAATAACATTGCTTATTTGTATTATTTGTCCTTTGTTTTCCTCTAGGTGTTAGTTGATGCTCCATGCTCCAATGATCGCAGCTGGTTATTCACCTCTGATTCTGAGAAGGCAGCCAGCAGGATAAGCCAAAGGTGGAGGTTACCAGTTCTACAGATAGAACTCTTAAGGTGAGTGAGAAAGGAACAAATGCAACATGGAGATGGCCAAGTCTGACTTTCACCCCCTTCATAAAGGGGGACTTTGCCCATTAATAATATACATAGCATCAAACAGTAGCTAAGTCAGATATGCCATCCTCTATACTCCTGTACTTTTTTCTACCAATCATATGGTATTGATATGCTTTGTTGATTCACAGAGGTTACTCATAGTTGTGAGGTTTATTAGGGAAATAGGTAGGGGAGTGGGAGAAGAAAAAATATCTCACCCTACAAATCCTAGTCCAGCAATATCAACCCAGGTTAACAGCAAAACACAATTCTGTAATCATTAAAAATCTTGATTTCAATTCAGCAGTCAAATTCAAATCATCCAGCAAGCTTTGCCTCAGAACAATTATAAGTCAGCCTCTCTTTCAATTATCTGGCAAGAACATAAAAACCTTTAACTGTGGCCTTTATCGCAGGGCACCTCTGATTACCCCTTGCCATAGTTTCTCCACAGCAATGCCACTGTCTCTCTACCACCCTCACCACCAAGGTGTCATCACCACAGTCTCACTCTTACCACTAGGGTCTCATTCTCACCAGGGTCTTACTTCAGTCTCCCTCAAATCTTGCTGTCAAGTATTAGAAGCACTCTATTTCTTTTATTCTAGACCCACAGCTGTTGATGATTCTCAAGACCATTTGTCTTTAATTAATGTAGCTAGAGACCAGAGGGGGCGAAGATAATGGCTAAAAAAAAAAAGCCAACTTAGGCCAACACTTCAGTAAAACTTGTTAATACAAATGTTTATAAAAATTCCTGGATGACACAACTGGATAGGTGCTTGCAAGAAGGTTGTTGGTCTGAGCTAACAAAGAGGCACCTTGAAGACAAACTTGATGATAAACTTACAAAGATCATAGCCTTGAATACTCTATCGGGCATTTCTTTGCTTCCCTTGTGGAATTATCAGGAATCAGAATTAACTAATAGGCAGCTAAAAACTGCTAATAGGTAATAACAACTGCTGATTCAAATACATGTGAAAAAACATGACACAAAAGAATCCTCAAATTGAGAGCTCCTTATTTGAGTGTCAGAGATTTTTCCTGCAAAGTCTGTATCCAGTGTATCTCATAAATTTTCCTTTCAGCTCTCATATTTTCTCATGTTGTGAGGTGCTTTCCATGTACCATCAGATGTTTTTGTTGGGTGCTATTGCCTCGATTATGACTCACAGCAATCCTATAAGCTACTGGAACCATGCCCTATTTTGTGGCATCCCCATGGTCTCCACTGTGCTCACACCCACTGTTACGGTCACTGTGTCACTTCATCTTGTGGAGGAGCTCCATCTCTTTTGCTCAGTCTCCACTTTTCCCTGCTTGTTGTCTTCTTCCAAGGAAAAAGAGCTTTCTGACAACAGGCCCGACATGTGTTGAGCAGGGTTTAGGGCTGTTGTACATAGGGTCGCTATGAGTCACAAACGACTCAACGGCACATAACAACAACAACAACAAGAACAACAACAAGGCGTCCTTGATTATAGTAACTCTAGGTTTGAGTTTGTTTTTCAGTTTGTTGAGCTTAAGAAGTGCTGAACGAGTTCGGCCCTTTTGATTTTCTGACTCTTGCTCCTCGCACATTTCATTGTAATATTTTGCTTTGTCATTCTGTGCTGCCTTTTGGAATCTTCTGTTCAGCTCTTTAGTATCTTGAATTCTATAGCATAAATTCACTCTTTAAAAGTATAATACAGTGGCTTTTCACTTATTCAGTATGTATTGTCTTAGAAAGGGCACAAATCTTAGTTCATGGAGACCATCCCATAGATTTCATTATCCTATAGTTTCTTTTACTAGAATCTAAATAAACACCACTGTAAAAGTAGCTATGGGCCAAAATGTACTTTTTCGTAATCCACAGACTGTTCTTGATGAACCATCTTTCTAGGATTATAGTTAGTTGTTAGCATCTATTCCACTTTATGAATTTTCCAAAAGGGCCTGACCACCAAGAGATAATTGATTTCCTTCAGATCAGAGATATTTGGAGCTGTCTTCTCTTGATTCTAAAAGAGTTTACTCTTTATACCTGACTGCCAAGGAGTACTGTGAAAAATTCCCAAGATGATTTAAAAATTAAAAAAAAATTAAAAAGAAACCTTAATAATTCCTTATCACTCATTATCTCTAACATATGGAATAAAAATGATAGTTTATATGCACTTTTGATGATGTTAGGAGTTCTGTTGATGTAACACATTATATATTGAACTGCTAACCCAAAAGATTGACTATTCTGTGGAAGAAAGATGAGCATTCCTCCTTCTGTAAAGTTTTCCAAGTTGGGAAACTTGATGGAGTGAGTCGAAATTGGCTCAGTAGAGTGGGTTTGATAATGTGCTTATTTTCAGCTTCTGATTGATTGTTATTGTTATATACAAATGCTTTGAACCCTGACCTATCCTGAGCTAATCTTATTGTCTCCAACACACCTACCCCTATTACCTCAGTTACTGTATTAATCTGTGTCATAGTCTTCTTCCCTACACTGTCCCTCCACCCTTCCCTCCACCCTTCCAAGCATGATGTCCTTCTCCAAGGACTGGCCCTTCCTGGAAACCTGCCCAAAGTATGTAAGATGGAGCTTTAAAATCCTTACCTCCAAGAAACAAGTTGGTTTCACCCTCTCCTGACAGATTTGTTTGTTCTCTTAGCAGTCAGTGGTATCTCCAACACTCTTTCCCAGGACCACAACTCAAAGGCATCAATTCTTCTATCATCCTTAGTCATTGTCCAGCTCTCTAATGACTTACTTTCTGATTACTTACTAATTATTCTCTAAATACTTAACAAGTAATTGCGAAGATCATAGCTTGGATCAGGTGTGCTTTAGTCTCCAAACTGACATCATTGTTCTTCAGCATTCTGGAAAGGTCTGTGACAACAGATTTTCCTAATGCAATTTGTCTTTTGATTTTATGGTGTAGATGGTGGAATCAAGCAAGCTGAAATTGTCAACAATCTCAATCTCTTCACCGCCTCACATCATACTTCCCATTGATACAGTGGTGAAAATCTTTGTTTTCTTGATGTTGAGTTTCAATGCATATTAAAGACTGTAGTCCTTGACATTCTGCAGCTAATGTTTCAGGTCCTCCTCAGTGTCAGCAAGTAAGCAACCATCTATAAAAAGCAGGTTGTTGAGAAATCTTCTAATCCTGATGCCACATTCCTCCTCATAAAGCCCACCCTCACAAATGATCTGTTTGGCATATGAACTGAAAAGGTATGGAGATAGGTTGCATCCCTGATGTACATCTTTCCCAATTTTGAACCATGCAGTGTTTCCTTGATCTGTTCTGATGACTGCCTCTTGGTCCAAGTATAG